GGATAGTTTTTTCTATATCTTACGTCTACATGTTTTTGAACCAATTTTACGATTAATTACATAATACAATAATTAACTTGTGCGATAGTGCTTCAATAATTACTTCAAAGCGAGTTCTAATGTTTTTATGGTGATGCATTTAATTATATTTGACGTCCTCTCTTAAAAAATCACGATCCTCGAAGTTTTTGTTTTTATAAAAAGTTTCACGTAATCGATGACTCATTGTTGTATATCAGGAGAATCCAAATAGCTGCAGACGACCTAGCGATGTGACATGTTGGTAAACGCCGAAAACCGAACTCAAAGATATACGCTAAGAACGTTTTAGTTTTTAGGAAAACTCTCGTGCTACGCAGACTGATTCGTTATCGGTTATCGTTACTATTTTTTTTTTTTCTTTGTTTGAAGCTGGAGAATTTCTCACTCGAAGCATTGGAATCGTGTTTCGAAAACTATATTTTTAAATGCTGTATTTTTTTATTTTCATTTTGTTGTATTGGATTGCATAGTATTTTATTCAACAATTTACGAGGTGAAGGCACCAGAGGTTTTTCCTGCAAAACGCGCATCGGCCAAACAACCAAACGTCGTGCTATATGTAAAAATGAAAGCGAATTTTGTTCAGTCGTAAATAGGGCTGTTTACATGAGAATTTCACGCCTCATGAAATGATTGAAAAATATTTTTTTTTTACGTTTGAGATGGTGATTGTCGAATACTCAAATGTCATACAATCAATTTATATTTTACGATATCCTTTCGGTACAATGGTTGTGGTCTCTGGTATAACGTAGTCTGTAGGATAGCTAACGAAATACCGACGTGTTGATAGCATTAATATCGTTAACAGAATTCCGTAATCTCTGCTTATCGGTTATCAATTATTTAATTATTACAATCATGTAATAAATAAAACAGAACGGGTTTTATGATTTTCACTCATATGAAGAATTTCGAAAAAATAAATGTCATCAAATTTTACAACCCCGGCGGTCAGTACAAAATCCGTATATTGTTAACGATTTTGTCGGACCCTCGACGGAATAGAATAAAATTGATTATTACCTACGCCCGGTATCTACGAGGATATTAAAATAACGATAATAATAACAATAATAATAATAATAATAATAATAATAGTAATAATTATGGTAACAATAATAATAGCGGCGACGGAGTCGGGGTATCGAGACGATCGGCGACGGCCCGCGTGACGTCACGGCCCGCCGCGCCGTCGTCGCAGACACGGCGGTAGACGACGGCGGCGGCGGCCCGAACACATTACGTAAGGTCAACATTTGGTCTATTGGTGTAGGTCCGGGCGCGGCGCGGCGACGGCGACGGTTGGTACTACTCACGCGCGCACCACGCGGCGGCATACGCCTATAATATTATGGTCTGCCGAACAAATTTTATTTTATTTTATTTTTTTTTTTTTATTCGGTCTCTTCTCTCTTCGCGGAAGACTTACACGCACACACGCACACGGGCGCGCCGCGCCGCACTCGCACATCGCCATGGTGACGGGTCACTAACCTGTCTGCCGCCGCCGTCGCCGCCGCCGCCGCCGACGATTCTCCCCGGTCGCTCCTCCGGGTCCGTCCGCAGCCGAACCGCCAAACAACGGCCGCCCGTCCCGGTATAATATTTCATTGTACGCGGCCCGGCCGCCGGGGCTAGGAGGAGTGCGGTGGCGAGTGTAAAAAGCGCGCGCTCCAGACGAGCGGCTCCTTCCGCCGCTGTTTTTCTCCGCTTTATTTCTGAGGGGATTTTTGTTGTTTTTTTTTTTCTGTTCCCTCCCTGCGCGCGCCAAAAATATTTCCAGAGTACTCGCGGCGAGGCGGGGAATACACGCACGCTACACGGCCGCGTTCGGCTCCCCACTATACAATAGTATCCCTCTGCGGCGCCGTCGCTCGTCCCGCGGTTTCGCCCGCCGTCATTACCTGCACCGTTATACCGTTTTGTGTACTGGCTTTTGACGGTTCGGCGGAGGGAGCGATTTTAAAAACGACAAAAGAACAAACAGAGAATGAAACGCGGGCTTTTTGCGCGCGCCGGAGTATTATCACAGAACCTATCTGAACAACGGACGTTAATGCTTATCCGGAAAAGAGGAACAGTTTCGCAAATCGTTTTTAACGAAGTCCGACCGGAACCCGCGGGAAGCTATCATTTTTAGTACTTATTTCCCTCCCGCCGCGCGAAAAACACATAAACATTAAATAAAACGGAATCTGAATGAGTTTCGTCAGTATTTAAAATCGCATTGGAAACGTCTTAGTGACAATAACTAAACCGTAATCACGGACTTTGAAGACTTACGGACACTGATCATTTTACCTTTGAAAGATGGGGATTTCGGCCCACGCTTAATGCGTTTTGTTTGTTTTTTCGGTTTTTAGTAATCGTTTAATTTATATAATTATTATAATTGGTCAAAAACAAAGTAAATACCCTCAAAATGGTACCTTGTATATTGTATTATAGATTAAAAACGACGACTATAGTACCTACGTATAATATATTTTATAACGACCATAGTACTTAAATAAATTATTCATGGTCCCTGAAACCCTTGAATCGATATTTTCTCGTGATCGTTTTACTATATACTTATCTCTGAATTTAAGGCATAAAAAAAAAGCTGAATATAATTCACACTATGGGTAGACTCCTGTAGTAGGTTAGATATTGGGACGAATTAATGGTTGATTAATTCGTTACGATCAATTTTTTTTAAAATAACTCTGGGTATAGCTGGTAAATTGTTCCTTACCAGTTTATCGAGTTATTAGTTGTGTTTTTTTCTTCTTTGTAGCCCAAAAACAGATAATCCGGAAATTGATAAAAATAAAACTAATTTGCCCCATTTGTATTCTGTAGTTTTTTTAAAAATTTTTTAATAAAACTGTTAAGAATCTCAAAAAATGTTTCAAATAGTTACTGCTAGTCAAAACCAGTCAAATATATATTTGAAAATGGGTACAATTTGATTATGTAAACAATAATTTGGAGCATATTTACCAACCGAAAAAATGTTTTTTTAGAGAAAAACACATCTTAGTATTAAACTAATAGTTTTTCGTTATGCTCAGAATCTAATACAAGCGGTATCGTAGCCAGAAAAAAATTCCAGGGCGGACATTTATAATTTGTATTATTAGTAGTACCTACTATTTTTTAGAATGATAAAATACTTAAGTAAAAATAACCAATAAAAACAGATTTCAGGGGTGGGGGCGTACCCTAATGCCCCCAGCACTATTTATAATTTCTGTATTTTATTACCAAGTTATATTTATATAATATTTGCAGAACTTTGTATGATTGAATAAATAAATTACAAGACGGTTATATTTTACACAATACGAGTTCCTTTTTTAAAATTAAATATTAATACAACGTTTAAATGTTTTTCCAATATTACCGTGTTTGTAAAAGAAATATATATATTGCACAAATATTTTTATCGTTAGAACATTATAGATATTTGTATTCCAATTACGAACTATTTGTCAGTTTTTTATAGTAGTTTAAACTAAAATACCATGAATTTATTCTATTGTCAATAGATTGTTGATAAAAAAAAATAAAATTCAAAGAACCAAGAAACATGCATACCAAGAAATAATTGATGATGAGATGTGAACAGTGTTCATAAAGCGCTTTTCATCGACAGGTTAGGAATACAAAATATTATTATATAAGTCTTTTAAAAAAGATATTTTACGTTTCGCGTTTTAATTATATATTATAAGCTTTTTTCGCACAATATCACAATGTTACACACTGCTATGATGAGTATTATAATAAGGAAGTAGTTAAGTTCCTATACATATTTGCCATTGAGCATAAAATTTATTCGAAATTGTTACGAGTAATAACTTATACATAGGTACCTATACAAACACATAGCTTTTAACAGAACATTACTTACAATACAATACAATATAATATTATTTATATTTATGAAAAAAAAAAATAGCTGATACTGTGAACGGGTCTGCGGTGTGCCACTGTAATAGATGGGAAGTTGGAATTTGGGAATTGTGAACAACGATAAACCATTGCTAACGAAAACCGATTAGAAACTAAGTTCGGTCATACATGTTTTGTAATATTTACGTTTTTCGTTAAAATTTGATATTAAAATCTTTTTAAAAAAAATACTACATTACTCTTTATTTGTTATTTTTTTACCACGAAGTGCGACTTATAATAAACCTCCTGTTAAATTTCAAAGCATTTCTGTTCGCTCTAACAATTTTATCCACAAAGTACATTCCAAATAAAAAAACGTAAAAAACTCGCAAAATTAAAATATCTATGAATAGCTTAAAAATAGCTCCATGTTTTTAAAATTTCACCACTTCTAGAAAATGCAAATATAATTTTTCTGTATAAATATCGAGTCTCTATATATATAACTGAATTACACAAAAAAAACATTATTTTCGTTAATTGTCTCGTACTTCCTACGTATTTTTCGGGTTTGCTCAATTATTAAACAAATAACAAAGAAAATAAAAAAACAACTTTCTAACTCATAAATAACATTAAAAATTCAACAATAAAGGTCTGTTATTGTTTTTCTATTGGAGCAATATTTCTGGTTTTTTTTTTGTAAAAATTAAAAACAATGAAATCTGTAAAATAACGATGCGTCGTAAATATTTGCCATTTTTTTCTGGGTAATTATTATGGAAACCCTTTGGAAAATTAAAAAATGACCTCCCAACGCAACAACTAGATAAAATCTCGTTTTAGAAAAACTGCTACACTTTACACTTGACATATCGGAGCAAGTTTTTTGGTAGAAAAGTTGCTCAAACAAAAAAAAAATATCTCATCCATCTCATCAATCTGTATATCACTCACCTATTGTTTCCGCGTACATCCAAGATGAGATAGCTCGCCGAATTCTTGTTTAGAACTCCCCCTACTGTTTGATATCATTTGACATCTCTGTCGACCTGACGAAATCCCATACTTTGTTACCTCATACGTCTGGTAGATATGACATGAGAGTATTCTGCATTTTGATCCTTTCCTGCAGGGAGAATGGTATTGTCAACAATTACGTGAAATTCTCTACCCTACATAAACAATACCACATACGTATGCCAACTGGAATCACCCATCCGCACTTTCCACAAGTAGAAGTTCGGGGTTCCGGGCTCACTAAACCCGTAGCATCATATGCCTTTGAGATAAACACTTAAATAATTTAATTTCCATAATAATAATAATTGTGTGTTTCTAATTATTTTACCGAATACTATAATATAGTACTATAGTATTTAACCATTGCAGTTCTTTGAGAGCTTTTGCGTCCAATGCCAACTCACCCCATCTATCTCTGTCTTGAACCATATAATATCTTTACATCCCTTCACTCTGTATGTCTTTACACTCCCTTCAACTACATCGGTCCATCTATCTTTAGGTCTATTTTTTCGTGGTTTCCATTCTATAGCGTTGTTCTGATGGTATCTATTCTAATAGCCATCATTGTAGCCTTTGTCATCTGTACTATATACGCTATGCAATTTTACCCTATTCTCTAATCATGTTTGTAAATAATATAAAATATTTAAATTTATTACCATTGGACATACAATTTTTTTCTCAACTGTAATTGACATAATATTCATACAACATTATATTAATATTATAATACTTTATATTGATAATTTATTTCATCGGACGGACGTCTTCGTGACGATAATAATTATGAAAACACCGGATACTTTGCAAAAATTAAAATTAAAAAACCGTTGTTTTATAAAATTACTCATCTATATAATAATTATCATACAAATTATACCCACGCCTTAATAGCTCCAAACTCTACAGTACCTATACTTGTACATTTTTTAGTTTGACATATTTTAAATATGTTCATATTTCGTCCGTAGGTAAACATACCTACATATTATTATAATGTATGCACGTACCAATATATATATATATCACATTCCGTACATAATTTTAAGTGCACAAAAAAGGGTTGCATAGGCGATAGCCTACCTCATATATACGTCATCGTTAAGAGTTCATTTTTTATTTTTTTATTATTTTTTTTTTTTTATAAAAGATAAAATTATAGTTTTAATAACTCGTTCTTGCCTATAAACCGAGATTATATGCGTATATTTGTTTGTAATTTTTATTTTTATTTTTTTTTATTTTACTGCAGAGACGGGCAATAAAATCGGTGGAAATTTTTAATATATTTATTATATTTTACATAATATTTTAAGCCTTTGTAATTTCGTTTTTTTTCTATAGATTAATCGGTTTCGCGACTTTATAATCCTTGCGTCCCTGTATATTATATATATTATACTTACTACCTACCCAAAAATTATACAGTAAAAAAAAAAAATTATTTATCGAGTTATGTGCTTCTATAATATAAATAATTTCTAATATTAGTAATATATTATACTGTGAAATAATCAAAAATTAAAAAATTAGGGTATTACAACTAACAAAAGTAAACAGTAGGTAATTAGGTACCTAATTACCTAGGTATTTGAATTTTTATAATTTCTTTAAATGTAATCATTCATTAATAATTATGTTAGGTTAGGTTTGGTCACATAATATAAATTTATCTTTTATAGCGACTTAATAATATATTGTGAGTTTGTGTCAGCAATTAATTCGGATCCTTTTATTATTCTCTTTTTCATGTTCCATTTCATTTCCAGACAGTTTATTTTTACTTGCTGTTTTTTATATACGAACTCATATGGTTTTAATTTCAAATATGTTTTATCAACTTTTTGGCTTTTTTGATTAATTTTTTTGATTTCCAAAAACTCTCTACCGTACTATGAACTTGTACTGTAATTTGTTCACGTTTTGAAATTTTTTTATTGTCAGTACGTATACGTAAACTACACCGCGATAGTGCCCACTACATTAACAAATAATAAATAAAAACCCAGAAAAAAAGACATTTACGTATTGTTGTTGCATTACTTACATAACATATTATTGAGAATATAAAGATAATAATTCATTTTAATTTTCGTGCTACTTTTTGATATTGGTAGGTATTTAGAGACTGATATTTAAATTTTGACCATCCGCTATTATTTTTATCCATATTGTCTATATAAAAAGAAAACACAAATATGAATGTCAGGCTAAAGATCCAAATACAGTCGATATTGATTGACATACGGATTTGAGATTTCCCTGATAAGTAGATAAGGCAGCTGATAAGTAGAGTTTTATCTCATTTTTAAAATATCATAATATCATAACTTTATGTAATGTATAAAATCTTACACATAATATATGTAAAAAATTATAAAATATCATTAAAAATTGAAATGCACACAGAATCGTCCAAATTTCATGTTAAGGTCAAATTTTCCATGGAAAACCATTTCAAAAATGATTTATGTATACAAATAAGTCATTTATTTTAAATTGTTTCACGGTTCTTATTTTTGAGAATGAAATTACTGCTAATTTTTGATTTTAAAATATCAATCTATAAGAAATATTTCATAAATAGTTGAAATTTTGAGAGATTAATAGAGATCTAAAATAAACAGAATACTTATATTAGCTTTTTTAGACATGATAGAAATTTAAAAATATTCTAACTAATTTTTTAAATTATATATATGCATTAGACATTTTCAAGTTACATTTAGTTATATGAAGATAAAATTTATTTTGACTAAACATAAGTACCTATAATTCTAACATAAGACTCATTACAAGTTGTATTTAATGATAAAAAAAAAATATATAGCGTTATCTAGTAGATTTCTTCCTTAGCGTTTAAGTTCAAATTTTGATAAAAACATTAAAATTTACGATATTTTAAAACATACACAACCGAACTTTGCTTGGCATTGTTTTTTCTTAGCGATGATTTATCGTTGTATACAGGCATAAATTAAATTACTCAATGTATCCTACGTTCTTAATTTCTCACTTAAAACAGTGGCACACCCATCAGCAGTATAAGTTATTTTTTTTATAGTTTATACGAATTTAACAATAAAGACTTGGGTAATGAGAGCAGTCCTTAAAGAAAAAAAGGACTAAGATTAAAAAAAGAGTGAAACAGAGTATGAGTTTGGACGAATAGAACGAGATAGCTTAAGATATAATAAGATAGGCGAGGTTTAGAGTTTTATGTAACTAGGTTATTTTGTACAAAAAAATGGTGGCTTTGACGAGAATGTGAAACATAAAATTAAGTGTAGAGAAGCATCAGCTATTTTATGTGACAGAAGAATTTCAATAAAACTTAAAGGTAAGTTCTCCAAAAGTGTGGTGAGACCAATTATGTTGAATGGTTCGGAGTATTGCGCAATAGACAGAAAAATAGAACAGAGAATGAGTGTAGTAGAGATGAGAATGCTTATAGGTGGGTTATTGGAGTGACGAGAGAAGATAAGGGATAAGGGATGAGTACACTAGAGGTAGCTTTGATAATAGAGAAAATGAACGAAAATAAACTAAGATGCTTTAGGTATGCCATGGAAAGAGGGGAATCTGAAGCAGTAAGAATTATAATGCAAATAAACGTATAGGAGGAAAGACCGAAAAAGATGCGATTGAAATTACAATTGTTCACTAAACTAAAAATATGGAAAATTAAAACGAAATAGAAACATTATATTAGTTTAATAAATGTCACACACTATATAGGTAGAGTATTTTCTGTTGCAACATTATTTCGTCATAATTATTTATCTCTTTATGTAGGTATATAATGTCTACTCGTAAGTCAATAATTTATCTTAAAATAGCCTAACATACAAAAAAATTAAAAAATATCCACCAAACCAAATTGAAATTTATAGTTTTTTACATTGTATTCCGAAATAGTGACATATGTCGCATTAATATACACCGTAGCACGTTCATTAATAATGATGATTTATATTTAATTGGACTATCATCAGCCATATATACGAAAATAGTGATGTTGTCCTCGTTGTTTCGGGAACAAAAACAAAAGTGATTCCTAAAATATGTGTCCAAGGTTATTGCGGAGCATTTTATGAAAAAGGATAATATTCCGTTATATATAGATTATTTAATCCATATTAAATATTAATTAATATATTTATAATATTAAATATATATATAATTTTGTACAACCTGGGCAATATTTAATATGTCCGAAAATCGTTTATTTCTAGACGAGTGAGACGAGTGCGATTTAGCGTAAAAAATAATCTGTGATGACTATTAAAAAATACTACTTTACATACATTTATTTTTTATATATGATTATATATAGAATTTAATTTTAGTTATAAATTTATAATAAGTGTAAGACTTTTTTTTTTAATTGTAAAAATACCACTTTTTAATCTTGAACGTCATCTTACCAATCTCGTTCGAGTAAATCGTAATCAATATGATTTTTATAAATTAGCTTTGGCTATTATGTTTTCTTCTTTAATTTCTCACTCAGAAGGGTACTACTTGCTTTACGTAAATATATTTTCTCGGAACCACGTTTAATGTAATTTTAAAGTGAATTTGAATGAGTTTTTTTTTTAATTGTTTAAATATTAGACCAATGACGATCTCTCAAATAAAATCAAAAAACGAAATAAATAATATTATTAACATAAACAATAATCGTCTATAACTTCGAATGATACAATGTTATGCATCGTGCATAATTTAATCATGTAGGTATAAACGCTATAAAATGATATTTCAACATCAGCAGACTCTTTTGAGAGTAAAATATACTATAACTTATCAGTAATAATAACTATAATGAGAATAATAATACTAATATGCACAGCATACAAAAAATGTGTTTTCATCGGAGGTTAAAAATGTGACAAAATTTGCGTGTGCAGAACTATTTACGTCATACTCTCGTTCTCGATCCGGTCGTAAAATTTAATTCACCTCCGGCGCACACAGCATCTGTCTGCCAAAGTACAGTATAGTTCCAGGAAGGAATTTATTGCTACGGCTGGTTTGCTAAATGGATTTAGATTAATATACACTCGAAATACTTTCATGATTTCCATATACCTACGTACGACGCGTAAATGTCAACCGTTTGGCCTTACCCCTTATACCTACCCATTTTTTTTTCTTTCATAAAGAATCTGCTCAATATTTAATAATAATAATTTATTCGAAGTCAATATAATTCTTATGCCGACCTAAACGACCGCAGTAAAGTATATTCTAGAAATTCGCATGCACAATGGAACGATGAAAATTAAAGTATGCCGTATTTACTAAATTATTATTTCGAATCCCAAACAATTTAAGATTAATATTATAATTGATAGGTATGTTTATGTTTTAATCCGTGGTACGATCGTTGTAGCAATAGCTGATAATCGATAAACGGGTAT